AGCAAGTGCTTATATGCCGTGTATAACTGTGTCTTTGTGGGTAAAATCCAACACAAACCACCAAGGAGAGGAGCTAGCAGCCACGTAACATAAACATCTACTTAGCTTGTATCTCTAAAGCTAATTTAGAATTTAGATTATATTTGATCTTTAGTCCCAGAAATGTTGGATTCCTTGAATTATAATTTTTAATTTCTAACTCAGTTCATCCTCATTTTATATAAAAAAAATCTTATGGTTTAAAAACTTTCAGCTTCTTATTCATTCACATATTTGGCACAAATTTCTCATGTTCCAGGTCTGAACTATTCAGTTTTTAACTATAATTTTTATATGAGTTACACCAGAGAGATTTTGCCAAATGTCCACACAATTTTTACTGCAACATTTATTGGAAAACCTTTCATTCTTCTTCCCAAGACATTCCACTCATGATAGATCATTTGTATCTTCAGACTTAACTGATGTGATGGATCATCTATTAGGTTAATGGAATCACATCTTTATTATTATTATTATTATTATTATTATTATTATCATTATCATTGGTTTTTCGAGACAGGGTTTCTCTGTGGCTTTGGAGCCTGTCCTGGAACTAGCTCTGTAGACCAGGCTGGTTTCAAACTCACAGAGATCCGCCTGCCTCTGCCTCCCGAGTGCTGGGAATGGAATCACATCTTTGCAGTGCTCTTGGAAACATAATTATTTTGGCAGATTCTTTAGGTTACTATTCAATTAAGATTTTAAGCCGGGCGGTGGTGGCGCATGCCTTTAATCCTAACACTTGGGAGGCAGAGACAGGCGGATATTTGTGATTTCAAGGACAGCCTGGTCTACAAGAGCTAGTTCAGGAGAGGCTCCAAAACTGCAGAGAAACCCTGTCTCAAAAAAAGAAAAAGAAAGAAAGAAAAAAAAAGCCGTAAGAGGTGTTAGCAGAAGTACTGAACAAATGGCTCAGTGAAGAAAAGAGCTTGTTCTGGAAGCAAACATGAGTACCCCTGCACCATTTTTCTTTTTCTTTTTTTTTTCAACCTAGGAGTGATCCTCCATGGGTCTGTAGCCCCAAAGTTGTGAGGGAGAACAGGAGGATCACTGGGGCTGGCTAGCTTCCAACCTAAAGCAGGATGAGAGACCCTGTCTCAAAGGAATAAGTTGGGGAATAAGAGAGCAGGACACTTAGCATTCTCTCCTGGCTGCCCCAGATGTGTGCACACCTGTCCACATTGCCACATACATGTGTGCATACACTGCACACATGCAATGAATAATTTGAGGGTTATAGTTTAGCTTTGAGCTTTTATTGTTCTAATAAAATGAATCAGATAATTTTGAACTACTTTTAAATTCTCAAACTATAAAACATGGACAATTTTCCATTTTATAAAAGTTTGATGATCTGGTAGGACTCAGTGTAATGGTCTGTCCTGTTCTGTCCCCACCAAGACTAGCCCCACCTACTCCCTCCCCATCCACCACAAAGGCAGGCAGATCTTCCTTTTGCTTGCAGCCTGAGCCAAGTCTCTTCCTTTCCATCTCTCTCCCAAAAAGGTAGCTGCTGCCGTGGCTCCTCTCCTCCCCCACACTTTTTATCTCTGTGCTCCTTTCACTTCTCTCCTTCCCCTCTTCCCTTTCCCGTCCTTAACTCACTAAATAAATACCCACTTTCTCTGTATGGTATACCTATCCATCTGTCTCTATTCCACTGGGGCTGTAGCTCCTCATAGGACTGGCTGTCCTGTCTCAGTCTCTCACTCACCATGAGGCTCCCTGTCTGGGACCTGTTGGCCCTCCTTGCCCACAGGCCACCGTGTGGCTACCTGCCTGGGACTTGCTGCCCCTCGTGGCTCTTGGGCCACTCAAGGGCTCTCTCCTTGGGAGCCACTGGCTGCCTTCATGGCCCCCTGTGGTCTGGGAACCTGATGGTGCTGCCACCACTTGGGAACCGTAGCTTTTTATTTTTACTATTACACTCAGAAATAGCTCAGAATAATTTTTTAGTAATTACAAAAACCTTTTGGTTGGTTACTCTTGGTCATTTACAAAGGTTATATAGAAAGTATGGTGAAGAAAATGACCCTGAGCCCAACAGATAACATTTTCTGGTTCTGACCAACCTTTAAATGATAAAATTGTCATTATGGATATATTTTTCTAATTTTACACTTTATTACATTATTAGTCTCCTATAACAGTAACCTGAAGATATGACACATTTCCTTAACAATTCAGTTGATAAGACATTTATTTGTTTGATATTGTAAGTAGTACTTATCAATTTTCTTAATGCATTTTTATTTAAAAAGTCATTTCTTATGACTTATATGGCTCAACATGTAAGATCACTTGCTACCAAGACTGAAGTTCAAACCCAGGACCCACAGGGTAGAAGGAGAAAATGTAATGTAGTAATTTGGATTTTTTATAGTCTTTAATTGTAGTAGTTCCGTATTATCAGACACAGTCTATCAGGTGCTGGGAAACCATGCATGGCCCCTGTTAGCAGAATTTACAGTGCAGAGCATATAGACCGATATAAAATAGTACACCACACCATCTGAATACAAACTGAGGTAAGTGGTCTAAGGAAGGGAACTGTGAGTACATTGGCGTGATGGAACATAATGTTGTTCTAAGTACTGGAGAGAGGACTCTGGCAGCCGCAGTGAAGACAAAGGTGGAGATGGGCGTGAGACACGGCTGCAGGGGCAGTTAAAGACACACCACGAGAGCCTCGAGACTTAGTAGAGGATTTTATCTCCATTTTTTTAAATATTTATTTATTATGTATACAATATTCTGTCTGTGTGTATGTCTGCAGGCCAGAAGAGGGCACCAGACCTCATCACAGATGGTTGTGAGCCACCATGTTGTTGCCGGGAATTGAACTCAGGACCTTTGGAAGAGCAGGCAATGCTCTTAACCACTGAGCCATCTCTCCAGTCCCCGAATTTATCTCTATTTTTAAAGTAACGTGAGCCATTTAGTTTGAAGCAGCAAAATTACAGTGTCAAATTTATGTTTTGAAAAGATCATTGTGACAACAGGAGAAAGTGGGGGCAAGGGGAATATCTTTATGGATGCCAGAAGCCCAGTACGCAAGCTATTACAGGAATGGTAGGTGAGATTGATGGTAGCCATTTTGTTCATATCTGCAGTTCCGTTATCTACCCAAATCTATAATTGTAAATAATTCAGTGTTTTCACATTTAAAAATTTAGGACTTCCACTGTATTTATCTATGGAGTAATTTTAACTACATATGACTAAATTGGAGTTTCTGGAAACAAAGATAAATACACAATATCAACAGATGCTTGGAAGATAAAATGAAGAGCTAAGACCGTAGCTCAGCGGAGGGCACTGGTTTAACACACAGGAGGCCTGCGCTCAATTCCCAGTAAACACCTCCACCCTCTGTCACACACACCCACAAATGGTAGTATGAGGGAAGATGGAGATTTTAAAGTTTCTGGCTATTTACCAACATCACATATTAAATATTCTATCTCTCCTTTTGCCACATATAATGAAGTATCTTCTAATTGTCTGTAAATCTCTAAGGCAATCATATTGCAAGTTATTTTAGTTTTACAATGTTAATATTAAAAAAGAAATTCTCACCATTTACAATACTTCTTTTAAAAGGTATCTTTATTTTCTATGATTTAAAATTTTAGTCATTTTTCACTTTCTATGGGGGAGCTGTAAATTAATCTGAGAAGAGTTCTTCCAGGTTTTCCAAATTTTTTTCTGTAGAGTCCACAGGCTTCTTGTAGCAATTATTCTGTTTCTACTATTCGTCTTGTGTTAGTTTTAATGCATTAGTTACCTCATTTCATTGCAGTTAGGCAGGTAAATTGTGAGATCTGGCTTAACAGTTGCACTGAGGATACCTACTTCAAATCTAAAACCTTCAGTCAGCAAATAACCAACCGTACTTCTTGTTTTTGGCTGAAACAATCTCATATAGTTCCTCCTGACCTTGAATTTGCTATGTAGGGGAGGCAGGCTTTGAACTCGAGTTTAAGACTCTGAGAACATGAAATGTCTGCTAATATACCGGCTAAGTTTTTGTTGTTTCCCGGCAGAGGATGAACCCAGTGCTTTATGCCCATTACACAAACACTAAGCTATGTCCCTACCCCTCTTTTCACATTTTATTGGGAGACAATGTCTCATTAAATTTCCAAGGCTGCTCTTGAATTTGTTCTATACCACAGACAGGTCTAGAACTTGATCACAAGACCCTCCTGCCTCAACCATCATAGGAGATGGGGTTACAAGCCTGCACTAAGAACTCCTAAGAAGCAAAACTTCATATGAGCCCAAGTACCTAATGTGATTATTTTCTGTTGTGTCGGGGACCAGCCTCAACAAAAATACCTCTTGCCGGGGTATGGGCATTGAAATTTAGAAATATTAGTGAAGAATATAAGACATGTTTAAAAATAATAAAACACAAACATATAGAATAGTACCAGGAGGGAGTTCCAGTGAATACTGAAATCACCTGCATTTAATTTCCAATGGCTTAAAATACCCCTGACCCCAAAAGGTAGGAGTAAGGCAAAAAAAAACAAAAAAAAATAAAAAACCAACCAACCAAACAAACAAAAAACCTGCATTAACGTGTTACAGGAAAATGAATAGATGAGTTGAAGGTCACGGGCTACTTCCTTAGTTAAACACCTGTTCCTCTATCGAAACAAGTCGTACTCACACCCTAGACCAAAACATTCTGTAGGCAAACCACTCCATAGGTGGAATCCATTGTTATCTCCTTAGGGGAACTGGACCTTAGTTGGATCCTTAGACTTTTGTTTGAGGTAGAGACGTATCTACTTCTCTATTCCTGAAATACAAGGTCTGGCTATTAGCCACACCTGTTGACAATAACCTTGAGAGAAAAGAACTCTCTGGTCTGAATCTAGGTGGGACCTTTGTTTGAGCTGGAAAAACAATAACCTTGAAGGAATAGAGGTGAGTTCCAACTCTCTGACCTTTGGTCGCGCGTTTGGGTCTCCACACTGTTGGATGTGGCAAGGGAGGTATTGACATTTACTGAACCTGAGCCTGCAGAGAAAAAGAATTAAAGAGCTGATGAATTTGTGAAGGAGCTGGATATTAATAGTCAGATCAGAACACAGGGGATGGGGACACGCTGCTTGGCATGTGCATTCTTATCCCATTCCAGAGCTGTGCTTTGTGAAACAGGGCCACAGGATGGAAAGAACCGCTGAGCCGTTTGGTAGAAATAAAATCTGAATTTCAAAATAAATTGAAAAATTTTCATTAGCTTTTTTTTTTTTTTTTTTAGGATTTTGCTCTAAGTTTCTGCAGCTGACTTTGGTGTTTGAGTTTTCTAAGCATCTGCTTTGTCAACCTGGTTCTACTTCAAGAAAACTGAATTGAAAACAAACAATGCTCAACAAGAACGTATCATGTTTCTGAGATTTTGAAGATGAGTACATACAATACATATGGCTCTGTGGCTATTATCTTGCATTCTCCACCTCCTCCAAACATGTTCATATTCTCTTTGCTGAACTGTGGAAGTCAAATCCAAGTGTCACTTTAAGAATGTAAATCTGGATCGACTGGGATTCAGATAGGCTCTGTGTGTATGAAGTCTTTGTTTTTAACCACTTTTATTGAGACAGAATTAATATACACTGTACAACTCAACCTTTAAAGGGTAAAAATCAGTTTTTTCATATTCACACAGATTTGTGTAACCATCAACACAGTCAATTTTAGAACATTTTCATAATCTCCAAAAGAACACTGTAGCCTACCTTGTGTCTACCCATTTTACCACTTACTAATATACCTCCTCTGTAGAGAACGCTCTGTTCTGTCCACACAGGTCTCTCCTGCCAGTCCATGTGAATGAATCATACAGCATATGAAATCTTGTGTTTAGCTCCTTCTGTTTCCAGTATTCTGTTTGGATCCAAACATGTTGCAGCATGGATTAGTACTGATTCCTTTCTATGGACAAATAATATGCTATGGAATAGATAGGCCACATCTGGTCATTGTGAATAATGCTGCATACTATTTTTTGGACACAAATTTCTATGTTGATGCATAGAAATCCTGACTGACTGGAAAGTTGGGAAGATGTACCTAAATTATCTAGATCTAGATTCAAAGTATCCTTTAATGTTAATAGTTAGCTACTTCGGAGTAGAGTTAACCTCTTGCTGGCTTAGGAAATCAATCCACTTGTTTCTCCTGATCTTCAAAATGTAAAAAACACAGTAATTGAGTAACTCCCAGGATTAGGTGATGTAAGACTTTACAGGGTACTAGTATCTGGAATATTGGGATGAATACAATAAAAAGTTTTTCTAGGATGTCTTATCAGGAAACTCATGGGTTATTAAACAATAGCAAGTATCCCTTATAATTCTTGGTTATTTTTTTAAAATAAATTTTCTGTGTTCGACTTTGTAGCTTCAATTAGCACATGTATGAAGATGACTCCTACCTCTGTATCTAATTCCATTTCCTGGATATCTATATGTATTTCCAACTACCTAGCCAGACAGCCTGAGTCAACAGCCACCTTGGTTGTAACTTTTTTTTTCCCTTTTTTTATTTAAATTTATTTATTTATTAAGGATTTCTGCCTCGTCCCCACAACCGCTTCCCATTTCCCTCCCCCTCCCCCAATCAAGTCCCCCTCCCTCATCTGCTCGAAGAGCAATCAGGGTTCCCTGACCTGTGGGAAGCCCAAGGACTGCCCACCTCTATCCAGGTCTCGTAAGGTGAGCATCCAAACTGCCTAGGCTCCCACAAAGCCAGTACGTGCAGCAGGATAACTTTTCTAACACCAAACTTATTCTCTGGGCTTGAAGCCTACACTTGGTCCTGCACCCGTCTCAAGTACAACAGTGACCATCTAGAGCACTAAGTCAGCAGGATCAGGAACACTCAATTCCCTCATCCTTTCCCTTATTATGATTACATTAATTTCTTATTGAGTCTCCTTCCTTCATCTTCTTTCACCTTTTATTTTTCATTTCATCACCCAAGCACTTTTTGCTTGCTTGGTTTGGTTTGCTTTAATTGAAGTTACAAGAACAATATAGTTGTAACAAAAGTTCAGGTAAAAAAGCAGTATGTCAAAGAGCAGCTACTTTAAACAACTAGATTCATATTTTGTAATTGTATGTCATTTCCAGGTCTGCTACTTTTCCTTATTTGGGTAATGTGGGTAGCAGTTCTAATGTTACTGTGCAACTATTTGAAAAGGCAAAGCTTTCGTATTTACCTGTGAGACTAAAAGCCACTCTTCTGGACTAGAGTACACCTCAGCCTCTTTATCTGTTGCATCCAAACTTGTTTTCAGATTATAAAACCTTCTAATGCACGTTTTTATATGCTCTGCCTCCTCATCAGAATAACTGATTTAGTTCCTGTATTTCCCTGTCGGCTATTTGGAAATTACTTCAATGACATTCAAAATCCACCATGCTGCAAAGCTTTATTAAAACCCTCACGAGCCTCAGTAATTTCACAGTGCTTCTGATGCAACTTACTAGATAGATAGTAATCTATGTCATTAGCTATATGAGGAAAGAAACAATTACTCACTTCCCATCTACTGTTTCCTGGACGTAGATGGTCCACGTGCTCAGTGATTGAAAGGTCTATAGGTTTATAACATTGTTTTTATCACATCCTTCTTTGTTGCTGCTATTTGTTGAGACAGGGTCTTACTATGTAGCTCAGGTTGGCCTTGAACTCATGATTCTTCTACCTCCAGTGCTATGATTACAGATGTCACCTCTACACCAGTCTTGTTCATTCTAAAGATCAGCCATCCTCCAAGTTTTGATCCACAAATCCACATATTTTCATGATATTCTTTTCATTAATTTAATAATCCTCCAAACTAGTTTTCTAGTGAGCACTCCTTAAAGAGATAGCATTCATAACTATAAGGTTCTTATAGCAATACTACAGCTAGATTTAATGTAAATACAAACTAAACATGAGACTTTATCTGAATTCCTTGCTGCCATCACATTCAAAGCTCTAAAGTAAGCCAGTAAATTTTTAAATTAATTTTTAAAAATTTATTTTACATACCAACCAGTTTCTCCTTCCTCCTCTCCTCCCTTTTCTTCCCCTCACCTCCTTTCTACCCCCCCCTCCACCCACTCCTTGGAAAGGGTAAGGCCTCCCATGGGGAATCAACAAAGCCTGGCCTATCAAGTTAAGGTAGGAACAAGTTCATCCCCTCCCTGCATCAAGGCTAAGCAAGAAACTCCATCATAAGGAATAAGTTCCAATAAGATAGATCCTGGTCCCACCGCTAAGGACACCACAAAAAGACTAAGCTACACAACTGTCACCCACACACAGAGGGCCTAGGTTGGTCCCATGCAGGAAAGCCAGGAAATTTTTAAAAAATATTTTTGCAATGCTTTGTTTATATACCCTGCAAAAATATGTCTTAAATTATCTTTGCATATGTAAAATACTGTCAAATACTACTAGAGGTCTTCCGGTTTAATACTGCTTTTTCTCCTTACATAAGGAAACATTTTGAATACTATGTGAATGTACAGGAAAATCTAATTAAAGCTCATCTCAGGATTAAATACAAGGTAAAGCAGAAACTACATTGTGGACAGATGGTTTTAGAAGTAGTGAAGGAAGAGAGAAGTTGCTACATCAGAAACATGACTATTAAAAACAATTTACATCTTTGTACTGGTTTGTTTATGTTTATGCTGATACACATATACAGGGATATTCATACATGTGTAGGCCAGAAACCCACCACCTTAGAAGTCACTTGTTTTTTGAGACAGGGTTCCTTAATGGCCTGGAATACACCAAACAGGCTAGGCCGGTTGTCCAGTGATCCACAGGAAACTACCTATCTGCCTCCCTGAGACGACAAGGGATGTGCCATCATGTCCATCTTTTCTCATGCGGGTTCTTGGTGTTGATCCCAGGTTCACTCTACCAAGTCAACTATTCAGCCCGAGGTCTTAGGAAAACGTTTAAAATATCTGAGGAGCAATACTAAAAACAGCATTTCCACTGAGTGCACATTTCTCATTAAACTTTTATATCTGATTTTTTAGGGAAAAGTAAATTTTATACTGATTTGTCCTGCTTTTGCTCACTGGGAGTCACCATATTGATATCCCTAATGTCACCTTTAGTTCTTCCAGAATTAGACAAGGTATGAGCTATTTTCTTTCCTCTTTTTTATTATAAGTTATAGTTTGCATTAAGTAAAAACTAGATAAAACTTGTATATACTATGCATTCTGAAATGATAATCGAAGTGACAAGAATTATCCCATTAGATTTTGATATGCATTAAGCTGGCAATAAGGAAATGGTTCATAATAGTTATTGCCACTTTATTAATGTGATTACTAAAAAACTATTCCAGCGATTTTTCCATATGCAGAAGCATTATAAAAATTTAAAATTTAAAGGGTTAGATTGTTCACACAATTTTTCAGCTCATACCCGTCACAACCTGTATTTTGGTTATTTATTTTGGCGCCAAATTCCTGTAGGAAGGACATGCGATGAGTTTTGTTTCAAACTCATTTCATAATTAAAACAGACATACATAACAGACATAATAACAGAGCATTACAAGAGAACTGACTTCGAAATCCTTCATTAATACTATTTCTAGCCCCATTGCTAAATGATCTCCTCCAAAGGTCTATTTCCTCAGAACTGGTGGCACACATTTAATTTGTACAAATGTCCAAATTTTCAGTGGCATTTTCACTGAATTTAAGGCTTTGTCTAGTTTATAATGAAGGTTTTTACATGATATGGAAGTAGTGAAGAGCTCAAGAAACATTTTTAAATGAATAAATGAGTTAACATACATTTGACTAAAAGTTGACTGGATCCATCATCTGAAACAGTTCTGACAGCATTGCTGCAACCTTATATTACGTAAGATGTAGGCTACCACAATTCAGTTCATTGTTTAGCTTCACAGTGTGAGTGTTTAAATTTATTTTGATGCAGTCAGTTAAAACCCAGGTCTTAAAAAGTTCTACTTGAAATAACAAATAGATCCTATCTATTAATTTAACATGTGTCTAGGCATTTTGAGGCTTATGAGACATTAAAAGTTGACACATCACTCAGTCACAGCTCCAAATAAATCTTACAAAGACACTATTGCACTATTTGTTGTGTTTATGGAGGAAAATGAAAATAATTCTATTCTGTGTTTAAAGTGAAAAATCACTTCATAGTAAAAATATTCTAGCAAAATGTATCACTTAGCTGAAGTGTATACTTAAAAACCAAAATTTTGTTCTACTTATTTGTATTTTAAAAATGTGTCTATTTAGAACAGAATTTCAACTTTAATACAAAGTACTAAGAAATGCTGACTCTGACATCTGCAGAGCAATTTGCCATGGCTCTAAGTCACTTTTTTCTGTTTGTCCACCCTAGACTACAGCACAGTGACATCCCCACTTCTATTTACATTTCTCTCCTTCATGTTTGGTGCTCTCTGCTTTGCTCCGATTCACCTTTCACCACCCAGAGTAAAATGAGAATTAGTACTCTGCAGTTTGCATATTTTACTTCTTAGTTTTTAACATCTGGTTTTTAAAAGATTTTTTTTGTTTCATTATTCTTTCTTGAGCTGTTCCTAATTTAACCAGGAGTGTAAGACTGTTTAACATAAAAATGTTAGGATCTTCAAGTTTACCCCCAATTTTCTCCAAGGTAATTTTGGTGGTTAAACATGTCACCATCCCCACATCTGACACAAGTAGCCTTTGTCCCTTTCTGATTGCTTTTGCCACACCAGACTAAAGCAGAACAGCTGCTGCAACAGTTAAATGCAAAACAGGAAGTCATGTGGCCTCGCTAACGCTTACCTTTCAAGGCGACTCACTCCCCCTGCTGGTTAGTGGAGAACACAGTTTCCAGGGCACTAATAAGTGTGTTGCTAAGCACACAGGATCTGGTTCAGCTGGAGTTATTTCCCTGGTAAAATTTATGCTTAGCCACTTTTTAAAAAATGTAGGGTTTAATGTACCTGTTACTTAAAGGAATCCAGCACCAGAAGTCTGAAAAACCATTTCTGTTTAGGTTTAGTTTTTTTTTTTTTTTTTTTTTTTTTTTTTTTTTTTTTTTTGGCTTTTCGAGACAGGGTTTCTCTGTGGCTTTGGAGCCTGTCCTGGAACTAGCTCTGTAGACCAGGCTGGTCTCGAACTCACAGAGATCCGCCTGCCTCTGCCTCCCGAGTGCTGGGATTAAAGGCGTGCGCCACCACCGCCCGGCAGGTTTAGTTTTTTGAAACAGGTTCTTGATACGTAGCCGGCTGGCCTCTCAGATATGGTGAAAGTCAGGGCTTTTTAAGTCTCTTAAATCGACCACAGTAAAATACTGAACTCCATAGAGAGTAAGATGAAAGTGTAATGAGATGTTGACATTTTATTAAAAACCTCTTACCTTCTTTGGGTTACACACACATATTTTCATTACACACTTCTCTTAATTATGTTCACAATTCTTGTACCTTTCCCATTTTAAAATTCTATACACAATTTTAAGCACATTTATTTCAACAAACAGGATAAACTGGGTAGGAAATCGAAGCTAACTAAGTAGAGAAACCTTATTGAATGGCTTTTTTTTTGAATGGGGACAGTTTTTATAACTTTGAAACACAATTTATTCTTATGATAATTACTCTGCAAAAGATGGCAATTAGTTTTCTTACGAACATGGGTATAAAAGTTAAGAGAAGGAAGTTAAGGAAGGAACAGAAACCTTACATTTGTCCCACATTTATTATTTTGATGTACTAAATGTTACCTTACAAAATGCACCAAACAGATTAGCAATAGTCCCTGATCTACTAAGTACATCGGATATAGACCCATCAGGAAAACACTTTTTCTGTACAGTTTGAATTATGATTGACATTTTAAACCAACATTTTTATTTCCTGCTCTTAACCCTGAAGATACCTTTTTGAAAGAGCATCAAATCTCCTTTAAAATATTTAGTGTCTCTTCTAAAGTTTACTATTTTATAGGCAACATTCTAACATTCCCTTTTTCCATTTTCTAGGGGGAAAATAAACAAAAATCTGAACTTTGCTTTGTTCTAAAGAAACACAAAGAAAACATGCTCCTTTTGCTTACAGCTATAACTCACGGTAAGGAATATATTTTGAAAACGTAACCTAGTAAACGCACACACACAAACAAGATAAATATTTATTTTAAAACTTGTGAGTCAGGTGATGGTGCACGCCTTTAATCCCAGCACTGCAGAGGCAGAAGCAGCGGCAGGTGGATCTCTGAGTATGAGGCTATCCTTGTCTACAAAGTGAGTTCTCGGCTAGATCTACACAATGAGACCCTGCCTCAAAAAGACAAAAACAAAAGACAAACACACAAAAACAAACCTGAAATGAGGCTAAAGAGATGGCTTAGTGGCTAAGGGCGCCTCCTTTTCTTCCAGAGGCTTGCTTGGTTCCTAGCACCATGGCACCGGCCCCAGAGGTGCACAAGAACTTGTAGTCCAACTTGAGGGCTACAGCTCCCTCTTCTGACTTCTGAGGATATCCCCACCAAACACATAAATAAAAATCTTTTAACAAACCCACAAAAGCTAAAATAGTAATATATTTATGTTAAGTCATCTGACAGTTTTAAGTTCTACCCTCAAAATCAGCATCTTTAACTCTTCACCAAAGTTTAAATCAATCTATAGGTAATTTAAGTATGCTAAATATGAAGTAATTTTGAGTCTATTATAAAATAATCCACAAGACATACACAGTTTGTTTTTATCTGCTGTTCTCTCCCTCTTAGAAATGTGTTCCTATTATATATATATAAAGTTTATTGTCAGATATAAATAGTGACAAGATCATTTTTTAAAAATCTTTTATTCTTATTACTTTAATGCAAATTCCAACCATCTTTAAGATAAATATTCACTAAAATATAAATTAATCAGCTTTGCCAATTTTCTGGCAATAACATCACAGTTAAAAAGTCCATCTAAAATACTGTATATCTTTGTAATCCACAGATCAAAAATACAAATGGGAATAGACATGAACATTCCCAGCAAATGAGTTAGGAAATTCCCTCCTTGATACAAGGTGCAAAAAATCAACTGGCTTAAGAGATATGTTAAAAATCTAGAAGCAAAACATACTAGCAGTGTTGAGGAAGACAGGTGTTGAGCAAACAAGGAGAAAACAACATCACCAGCAGAGTAACTGAGACTATGAAAGAGCTCAGTTTGAAGTCGTTGTGTAGGGGTGGGTACCATTCATCTCAGCGTGGGCAAGCTGAGACAGGAGGGTGAAGAATCAAGGCCAGCCTGCACTACATAGTGAGTGCCTGACTCAAAACAACAAAGATCTTAAATTTAGGAAAGCAAAATACTAATTGATTCCGCGAGGAAATACTCTTAAGTGCTAAAATTATTTAATTCTGGGATAGGAAAAACCTTCAAAGAAAGTGAGCCCTTGTCTGCTTTCATTCACTATTTTATATGAGGTGCCTAGAAAAGAGCTAATTAGCACCTAATAAATCTTCAATATGTTTGAGGGAATAAATTAAAGTTATTAATTTTGGGTGTGGGGAGATTGCTCAGTTGGTAAAATAGAAATCCGAAGACCTGATTTGGGTCCCTGCATGCTGGACATGGTGGTGCACACATGTCTGCTAAGACAGGTGGATCCCTGGGACTTTCAAATAGCTAGTTTACCTAATCAGATTCCCAAATCCCAGGAGAAACCGTCTCTTAAAAAAAGTTGGCAGCTTCTGGGGAATGACACCTTAATTCACCTCTGGCTTCCACACATATACACCCTGACAAATTAACATGCACACACCAAATTATGTTTTTTAAATTGAAGTTTGGATTAAATGCTGCAACCATGCCAAGACTTTGTACTAAACAGCCTATCAACTGTCTTTACTGAGGCATGCAAAATTAATAGCTCACCAGTAACATTTAAGAAAGTATACAGGAAGATAATTATGCTTCCATAAGGAAAACGAACTTTGAAACTGAGTGAAAAGTATTCTAAGCCATTTGTAAGTTACTTAAATCTGTTCTCAAAATTAATATCAAGCAGACTGTTGACTGTAACTAAATAATATTTAATAATTTAAGCTAATGGGTGTAAAATAGTTATTAAAACTGTATTCTTGTCCAAGAAATCTGTAAATGAAATAAAGAAATTTAAAATATAACTAAAGCCTTTTCTATACAGCTCCAGTTTACTGCTATAGTGAAGTTATAAGACCTACTTTTCCTGCTACTAGGAAATCAAATTTCCTACCTTTATAGTTTTCAAAATCATTTTCAGTTGGTATCTCAAGTGCTACAATAAGGTAAGCAAAGGTAAATCAACACCAACCTCAGCGGTGAATAAAATACCGACACGAAGCTTGCCCTCATCTCTCACAGAATCTTTTGCAAACTTACAAGTCAACTCCTCTGGCTTTCGCTTTTCTTGACAGCAGCATAATTAAGAGTCCCAAAGCAGCCATATGTGGTCCTTTATACAGGGCCTGGCAGCCTTTGAAACATACACCTTTTGAATCACAGCGCCGCACATTGTGTGACCAATAAATACTTGCTCAATGAGCTTTCCTAGTAGTGCTGTGTTTTATTTTAGCTGAGCCCACCAAATTCTGAGACTTCGGTTTAGTCACAACGGCGTGTATTTTGCAAGAAGGAGGGCAGACAGGATTAAGAATGAAGTTTTGTGACTCACGAGAGCACAGTGAATCAGCTCACTATAGAAAAGGTCATTTGATCAACAAGTGCATTGGCCTCTGTCATATCATCTATCATAACATCTAGAGAAACTTAAAAGCAATCATCACCTTTATGAGCTTTCGAATGTCCAGAAGAGATCTTTTCCTGACCTCTAATAAACTTACCTCCGTTCCGTCTACATTTTTTTCTTGTTTTCACCATCTGCTCTTTTAGGTATATATAAGCTCGTATTAAAGGGTAGAGTTGAGAAATAAGGGAGGAGGGTGCCAGAGGCATCCACAGAGCGATGCATACATAACACCAGCGAAGGAAAGCTAAACTTCATCTCCTCAAGCTGCCGGGCTACTGGGCAAAGAGTAAGGCAAGGCTGAAAGCCCGGATGACAGAATGAGAAGGAAGCCGCCAACCTGGAAGGTAAACAGGAGCGGTGGAGGCACCAGGTGGCACCCGAGCGAAACCCTGAAGACGGAGACAACTTCAACGGACGCTCTGGGGAAAGACAGCAGCAGCATGGCGAGACATAGTTTTATTTGCAAGGATGCCAATCGGGTTCCTTTCTTCCCCGGTCCTTGCTTGACTCGTTAGCCCCTGACTTACTCCACAGGGTCAGGAGGGCAGTAAAGACAAAATCTTAATACCTCGCCCCCATCGACTTCTAAAAAACAGAAAAACCTGTAGGTGAGCTGCCCCACATCCTTCTAGCACATCTGTACACATACGAATAAAATTTGAAGTTGACAACTTAATTCATTTAAAAAAAATAGTATGTTTCCTCCTGAGTAGAATCCGCTTACCTACTGGCACTTTTTACCTGAAGAACAGCCCCCTTTTACAAAAAAGAAAAAAATAGAGAAAGCTGTGTAGCGATGGAATTCCCTCTTGTCTTACAATAAGACAATACAGACAGGCCCGGTACTGTATGTCTATTCACATTTTGTACTCCAGCCTTGTCCAGTGCCTGAGTTTCAAACATAAAGAGGAAAACGTCGTCTGAAGTGCGCCGGTCCCCGGGTTCCGGTGCCCCGCGTCCGGACGGCCTCGGCTCCACCCACACCGAGACCGCCGCGCCGGAGCGCCCGGCTCCTTGCTCGCACAGCGTCGCCTACAGGCCTTAGCCCGACTATCAGGGATGAATCAAACCACGGTCAAAAAGAGAGAGAGAAAAAAAAAAGCAAATCCATCAGCGCCCGTGTATTTCCAGAAATTAATGCATCACGATCACGATTCCAAACTCAGCCAGGCTGGGAGCCTTCCCCTCCGAGCATTGTGTCCTCCGCAGAAATAACACAGACGGATAGAGTCCTGCCGCTCCAAGGACGGGAGGCGTGCGATCCATCCATCACGGCTGCGGGGACACCGTTTACAAGGCGCACCGTCGGCATCCACCGGCCGGCCGGCCGCCCGAGCTCGGCTTCCCAGGGGCTGATGGCCGCCGAGGCAGGGTGCGCAGGGCGACCTCCGCTAGCCGCCGTCCGCGGCCTGTGAGGCCCGGAGCGCTCGAGACGAGCGCGCGCGCCCCGGCTGCTCGGCCACCGCACCGGCCCAGCGCCCGGCTGCTGTCGCCTTCAGGAGCGCTCAAGCCGGGGAGAGCCGGGCCCCCAGGCTACGCCGCCCGGCAGGAGCGACACCACAGGCGGCGGCCGTCCAGGGCGGGACAAGGACGCCGAGAAGAAACGCCGCCGTCACCGTCGCCGAGGCCCCGGGTCCGCGGGAACCGATTCCTCTGAGGCCGAGCTGCGAGCCCGACTGGCGGCGACGGCGGCTGCGGCGGCGGCGGCGGTGGCGGAAGTGGAGTGGGGAAGAGGGGGTGGTTGTTAGTGTTTGGCGCCGGCGGAGGGAGTCATTCCTGCAGCTGCACTTCCGGTCGGCATTTTGTTCTGAGAGGGAGAGACGGAACGAGAGAGAGAGACACACACACAGGGCTCCTTCCCCCCCGCCTGCCCTCCCCCCCCCTCCCTCCGTCGGTACCGACTCACCCGACACCAGCCAGCCGCAGGGAGGGACGCCCCCGCCGACAGGAGGATTGGTTCCCGGGCCCGCGGCGATGCCCCCCCGGTAGCTCGGGCCCCTGCTCGGGTGTTTGTGAGTGTTTCTATGTGGGAGAAGGAGGAGGAGGAAGAAGAAGCAGCGATTTGTCTTCTCGGCTGGTCTCCCCCCGGCTCTACATGTTCCCTGCACTGAGGAGACGGAAGAGGAGCCGTAGCCACCCCCCCTCCCGGCCCGGATTATAGTCTCACGCCACAGCGGCCTCGGCCTCCGCTCGGATTCAGACGCCGATTCGCCCAGGTAAATTCCTGCTCTTTATTTCGGCGGCGGCTCCGGCGGCAGTGGCGGCGGCGGCGGAGGCGCCGGCGCCAGGTCCTCAGCGTTTCTCCTCCTCTCTTCCCCTCCCCGCCGTTTCCTCAGCGGCCCCAGGTCTCTTCCACGGGGCGAGTCGAGAGTTCGCTCCTTCTCCCGGCGGCGGGCACCCTGGGTGGCGGCGGGTTGGTTCCCCCCTCTCGCCCGGCCGGCTTGGGTGACGGGGAAACGGGGGCTCCTGCCGGGCGGCCGGGGAGGCGTAGGCCCGGCGGAGAGTGCAGGCCGCGGGCCAGCGGAATCTACTTGAGCTCGGGGATTAGGAGAGCTCCGGGCTGAGCGGAGCGACGGCTGGTCGGTGACAGGCCTCGCCCGGGAGAGGAGCCGGAGCTAGTGAGGAGGCGGAAACAATACAACTATCGGCCAATGTGCCCCGATCGTCCCCATATTTACAACTTTCCCGGTCCTGGAGTGGGGAACGTCCCAGTGAAACAAACAACCCCCCTTCTTCCCCCTGTGACCCCATGAAGGGAGGAAGTAGTTTCAGTTAGTGAAACAAACGTAAATACTCAGACCCGGCTCCGGTGGGAATGCTCTGCCAAACTTGTTTGGAGGTTGGAAAGTTAATAAAGCCTCGTTTTCTTTGTAGAAGGCTCAAACCGTCCGCATGTATATTTAATATAGAAAAAGCCATAGCGTAGTAGACGCGGCACCTCCTCGCCCGGGAGCTTTTCTGTTGTTTGACAGTGTGTGTTGCACATGGACTTTATATTCAGAGCTAAGTGTAAAGTACTTGACAGGTATACTCTGCCACTTTGGATTTGTGTGTGTTATGTAAGGATAATTTTACATGACTGTACATGAAACCCCCAGGTACTTCCTAGCCTAAGCGTGTGCAGGCTTACAAAGAATTGGAAACGTTCTGAGCTTAGGCCGAGATAAGGATGAAACCTATTTCCTTTCAAAGGATAGAAGTTAAGTTACTCTTCAGTTCTTTGGGAGGTTTTAAAACACACACAAGTAGAAGGGGCCATCCTTTCTTGTCAGGGCAGATCTTCATGAGGTCCCAGGATTGTCATTGGCTGTTTGTACCATGATGTTTGACTGTGTAATGAGCGAGGTGTCATTTTAATAGGTCAAATGTATCTGTAAATGCTGGAGACAAATACCAGTTCTGTACCTTAACAAGCTCTAGTTCACGAGGAAGGCAAATGTTGGGCGCTTGTTTGTGGCAGCTTCGGTAATGGAAGTTGGCGTGAGATGGAAATACCTTTTTTTTTTTTAATCGTCAGGCTTTACAGATTGCACAGAAAAAGAAATGTCCCTTTTGCTATTTTGTTTCTTACTCGCTGAAGGAAAACTCATTCGTTAAAAGGAAGCAGCACTTCGGTAACATCTCTTGTTGTAATAGTAATGGTTAAATTTTGTTTTAAGTGTTTTGTGTCTTAAGTTTTTATCTCTTTTGATGGAATAAGTAACTTTTCTGCTGGTTACTTTTGAGTTTAACATTCTGCTTTAAAAAATTGTTCCCCACTTCCTGCAAACGTATGGATACACGTTAAAAAGAGTGAAGTTAATATAGCTGTCACGTACTAGGCATGTTTTTAATGCTATAAATCCGTGTAGTAGTCAGTAGCGTGTCCGTGATTTGTATTGGTCGGGGAGCAGTTTGAATTTTAAAAAGCCTGAAGCTCCTGCTGAGCCCCAATCCCGGCCTCCCTCCCTCCCACTAATCTCCCATTCCTGTCTTTGTGCTGCCTGCTCCTGTTCGACTCTGTTTGCTACGGGGCCTCTGGCCTACGGGGGTGAGGGGGGTGCTGGTAGGGGGTGTGCCAGGAGGGACTGCCTAAATGAGGAAGACTTCCCGGCTTGAGAAAGCAGAGGGTTTGGTGTTTGGGGGCGGGGGCATGTAAAGGGTTGGGCAAAGGCGTCATTAAAAATTTTTGAAAGGCCCTGTGATTATCTTTTCAACTTTTGATTAAAAAGGAACGGTGTGTCAAGAAATGAACCTATTTCATGAAAGATAATGGGGAAAAGAGTACTTCTTGCTTAGTTTTCATAAACAGGGCAACTTTATTTAGTTTTATAAGTTCCAAGGAGCCTTATGCAGATGTTTGAATCAGTCTACTAGATATCAGTGTGATTGACATATTTTTTTCTTAAATCTTTGCAGTTAGATTACAGCTAGTCCCTTCTTCTCATCTTATTATTCCAGTTCTACATCTTTTGTAATTTGTAAGTAATGTTCAGTTAGTGATGCTTTCATTAGAGCTTGTAAACACTTCTTTAAAGTTACTTGGAAATACTTTTGTTTGGCTCAGATATAGATTGTTTTTAAGGGAGAAAATTTAATTCTTGAACTTTCTATTCTGGGTAATTTAGTTGGAGATAACAATTTACGTTTCATGAAGGATTATGGGTAATCTATTGGAAGTCACCTGCATTGGTTAAGATGTTCACCAATGACAAATCTCTTGCTCCTCTTTCTCTGTTTAATTCAGTGAAAATATAACAACCACCAAACATTCCAGTAATTTTATCATTCTGGTTACAGTATTTGGAGAAATATTCTTATTGAACAGGCGTGTTCCTAATATCCTAACATCAACTCCATGGCTTTCCATTTTTGAGTATGCAGTTACCAATATAACTTGGAAAGAAAAACAACTTTAATGTAAATAATGAAAATCTAGTAAACCAAAGTTGAAATTAAATACATAATTACTCTCAGCATTTTAAGAAGTGTGTTTGGGGTGCTTTGTAAGGTCACTCATCCCATTTTTTTTACTGAAGATATTTGAATGTACTTTTGAACCTGTGCTAAAAATTATTTTACTGCTGCCTATATTTTAGAAAAAAAAGAGTGGTGTATTTGAAGAAAGATTAAGGCTTTCAGTAGGGATGAAAATGAAGATTTTTACTATGGTAGTAAAAAGTTTTGGTTCTGCATAGTGATTGTTACTAAGATTTTAAAACATGAGCAGAGCTATACCAATTGATGTGCAAAAGCTTTTTTATTTCAGCCATACTACTGAACTCAAAAGTGTACTTTTAAGGCTTTCTAAATGAATTTCTTATTTAATTTTTATACTGATCTGTCATCAGACTGTCATAGAAACATATGACATGTCTGTATTAGATTTTGACATAGCCTATTATACTTTTACTTTCTCAGAATAAGACATAACAAAATTAAGTAAAGACTAACTTTGAGTTTTTTATAGTGTTATTTATCTCTCTTGCTTATTAAGAAAAGCATAATTTGAAAATACTTCTAAAATTTTAGACTATATTTCACTTTTCTGTTGAGTTATTGGGAGATCTGGAGGTAAATTCCTTTGAGAGAAATGTAGTTTCTGTTCATCAAGGTACTAACTAGGTACTTTTAAAGAAGCCTAATTAATTATTAAGCTTGAAAATGCTTATTTTAATATTCTAAGCATACTAAGTTTGTTTTGATGGTGATTTATGCTCTTAAAAACTTTAGAGATAATTTTAAAATATACTATTTCCAATAGTTATCTTTTGTAATAATATTTTGTGTTTTTAGAATTTTTCAATCTGACCTGAATTCATTTATAGACATTCTTATGTTCATCTGAGAAAAATGACTGGTGTGATTATTTTTTAATAGAAAACTTCACACGGAGACCAAGTGATTTATACACACACACAATGAATGAGTTAAAGGAATTTCCTATTAATATCTTTTATTAGATTATGTTTCTCTAAAACATGTCTGCACTCTGGTCTTCGAGTCACATATTTCATAGTGGCACTACTACATCATTTTTTTACTTTTTTGAATTATCCATGTTCAAAATAATCCCTCCCCCCCTTTTTAATTTTAAAAGAGATGGTATCTGTTTTTCCTGCTGGTTGTATTTTTTTGGTGTGAACATACTACTTTGCCATACATTGGTGTGTATGTTTAAACTGCTGGTTTTATTTTCTTATGCACCTACTATGGATTTTAAACAATATGTAACATTTCCTGAGTTGTTTGGGTTTATTTTTAAAAACGACTATAGTGGAGTTTTAGTGTTTACTTGATTTTCGCACTTTAAAAACCCATTTCTTTCTTCTTAAAGCCATCATTCCCATTTTAAAGCATATTTTGTATGATTAGACTTTTTTCTCTAAGGAAATTAATTAATAAAAGTGATTTTAGATATTTGTAATATGTATAATTTTGTTTGGGGTAAAAACCTAGGGTTAATTTTAATGAGTTGAGTTTTATGAGATTGCATTATCCTTTTTAGGCCCAAAGTGATATTTAGAAAGGTTATTTAATAACAAGAGTATTGCCAACTAACAATTTTCCTATAAGATTTTTGATTGCCTATTATTTGTCAGGAATTGTGTTAAGTGTGTCCCCCATAATATTGTTTAATTCTAAAAAGTATGTAAAGAAGAAGCAGTTATTCACAACTTAAAGAAACTGAAGTTAGGAACCTGTACGAGATTGCCATAGCTATATAGTTTACAAATAATTGCCTTGACATACATTTGTTTTCTGAGGTTTAAGCTTCTACATCTTTAGTTTGTAAAAATCTTGTATTTCTTTGATTTCTCAGTTGACTCAACATTCACAAGCTATATAGTTGAAGATAGATGGAATGGAATTTGTGTCCTGTACACATGCTACTTTTGAAATAGGGCTTTAACTAGCTTTTTAATTTTGTTAAGTGGTCTGTATATTTTTTACTTAAGTTTTTTTTTTTTATATTGGGTTGGAATTGTCATAGTATCTATTTTCAGAAAGGGAAAAAATAGCATTAGAGTTACTTCATTCTTAAAAATGTAAATGACCAACTAACTGTAGTATAGAAGATAAATCTATACATTAATATGACTAACTTTTTTTTTTAAAAAAAAACAGCATTTATGTGGTTGTCAATGTCGATCCTTTCAAAATCGCCCACTTAATTGTGTACTTGTTCCAAAGCTGTTGTCATTACCTAAGTTTGTGGGAATTTTGCCTTGTTTGTCTTGCTTTGTTATAAGCATAGTCTCATTAGGAAGCTCTCAAAGATCCACCTACCTCTATCTTTGAGTACTGGGGTTAAGGTGTGCACCAGTATAGCCATGGGGAACCCTTTTTCTACTACTCAGCAAAGCATTTGAAACACCAAATTCTCCTTTTTATGTTCCCCCATTTTTAGTCCTTTTTAATTTTTTTTTCACTTTCCTGTCAAGACAATGTTTTCACTATATAGTCTGCCTGGGATTCCCTGTATAGAGCAAGCTGATTTTCCTGCTTCTGCCTCTTCAGTTCTAGAATAAAGGCGTGTACCACCACACCCAGCACTGAAGTAGGCTATTAAAAAAAATCATTATGATGACTTTTTATTTTCAGGAGGTGGATTTGAGTTAAATACAGTAAGGAAATAAAATTAATCTTTTTCAGTCAGGTGTTATACCTTTTGATTTGTGGTACTTGGTTTTGTTCTGTTTTTGTTGTTGTTGTTGTTGGTGGTGGTGGTGGTGGTGTGTGTGTGAG